GTGTGTTGGCTCTACGAGAAGGTCTTGGTTTCCTTTCGACATCTGCAGGTTTGGCGTCTCTCAGAGATTTCCATGTGTGTTGGCATCAGTCTTCCCCTGGGTCCAAGCACAGGCACCCTGAGTCCGAAGAACATGTTCTACTCTTGTTTCTTTTTTCTGCAGTAGTAGGTCTCTCTGATCTTGGCTATAGAGATTGACTCAAGATACCACCCAATGCTGTAGATTGTATCTTGCCTTATTAACATAACTACCACTACAATAATTATATTAGAAAACAAAATAGAGGGTGATTACTAAGAATGATATTCTAGCTAAGTTGACAAAAATTTAGAGGGGGCACAATTTAATCCATAGCAGTATGTCAATCTTAACTTTTCTCCCACAGTACCACACTTACCTGAGCAAGTATGAGAGCATACCAAAAAGAAACTTGGTTCATTTTTATCCAAAGCTCTGTTAGAGACTACTTCATAACTTGAATAAATGTACAAGGTAGATGTCCATCATTAGATTGAGTGGATCAGATAGAAACACCTAAGCATTCCAGAACCTCTGCTAACCGGATGAAACATTTCTAATCTCATCTTTGTCTTCACTGTGACAAGTTCCTCTCTTCTTTATCCCCCAGAGTGCCCAGATGTCAGATATGGCCAGCAGGGAACTCCATGTCCAGGCTCAAGACCAACTACAGCACTCTTTTATGGGCAGGGCTCTAGAAGAGAGAGCTCAACAGCATAGAGAGGCTCTGATGGCACAGATCAGCACTAACATTGAGCAGTTAATAAGTGTGTGCTCAATCTGGTTTGTTTACCTAAAAGGAATAGCCTATGTATGACTTGTGACATCTAAAATCTTCAGAAAGAAAACACCATTTAATGGTCTGCTAGCCCATCTTCTGTACTCGGAAATATGTACAACTGTATTATACCTCACACAATGTTTTCAAATGTTGCACATTCCATAACGGTCTTCATTGCTTTCTCCTCAACTCTTCTAAAATGTACATGTATCAACTGAGACAAACTTATTTCAAAGATTCTACTTTGTTCTCTCAAAAACTTAGCCCATACTAGAAGTGGATGAGAGAGAATGGCTATTAATATAACCATTCACTTTGGAGAACGATAACAATAATGGTTATATGACACAGAGACTATATTCAACAGCACTGAATTATACACGTAGACGTTGGTGAATTGGTGAATGGTTGTTGTATATATTTTTTGCCAAAATGGGAAAAAAAAGTACATGAATAACAGTGAGTACTGGGGAAAAGAAAATGTTCTAAAATGTATTATGGTAAAGATTTTTTAACTCTTCTTCATACGGTCGAATGATTGGATTGTAAGATATATGGACAAAGTGCCAATAAAACTTTTAATAGATGTATAAAACCATTTACTTGTAGAGCATTATATAATCTTTAAAGAAATACTTTCACAAAGATCAGTTCACCAGCTCCTTACACCCATGGTTCCATTTAATTCTGAGATCCTATCTATGAAGCTAAGTGTATTACTCCAGGTAGACTAGAGAAACAAATCCAGGGAGATTAATATGGTATAAGAAAGAGCTTAATATCAAAGAGTAATTGTATATTAAAATACCCCAGCCCAGTCCAGTTCCAGTCCATAAGTCCGATATTAGCCCATATGTCTGAACCAGTCTATAAATTCTTCCTCAGACTCACGCAGCCATGCAATTATGCTGAGTGCAGGAAGATCACAGGCCAGTGGGTGGAAAGTCTTGTGGATCCAGTGGCGGTGGAAGCATCTCAGTGCTGACATGGGTCTCCACATGGCTCCTCCAGCTCCAGGGCTCAGGCTCCATCAACTTGGCTCCATGTGGCTTGTCAACAGGAATGTCTCTCAGGGAGACAAGCAGAAGGTGTATATAGCCTGCAGTGAGCTATTTTTCTCCTTTGTGCCTCCAAATGAGATCATCATGCTGCGACTTGATTGACAGGCTACACTCCACCCCTTTGCAAACTGGCAGCAGATTATGTACCTTCCCCACTAAGCTAAAAGCTGTGGGATTTAATTTAGTGTATATTGGAGCAGAAAGTGCTAGTGTTCTCTTAATCACCATTATTCGTGGATTTCTTTTATTTTTGAATGGATAAAACCCCAACATCCACTGCCATCAAGTTAATTCCAACTCATAGTGAACCCTATAAAGGTTTCTGAGACTAAATATTTACAGGAACAGATCAACTTTCATCCTCACAAAAGTGGTTAGTTGCTTTGAATCACCAACTTTGTAGTTAACAGTCCAATGCTTATCTGACAGCACTGCCAGCACCTTTTATATATAGGATGGAGTTTTGCTATCTGTATGTGTATTTTCATTCTTTTCTTTTAAACATGGAAGTTGTGGAGAACAACCTAGAGAGCGAAGTTGCTAACAGCCATACCTAACATTTGTGAATAGTTACTTACCATCTACAGCTAGCAATGATAACAGGTTCAGAGTTGAAACGTTTCCCTGGTGGTATAAAAGAGTTCCGATTCTGTAATCTCCGCCTTTCTACTTGCTTGGGAAAAGACTTCCATTCACTTACTTTTTTCTGTTTATCACAGGAGCACCAAGTCTGAAGGAAGCAGAAGGGAAAGAACCTGAGCTCTTCATCAGTAGGTCCAGGCCTGTGGCAGCCAAGGCCAAGCAGGCCCATCTCACCACCTTAAAGCACTTACAAGCACCTTGGTGGAAGAAGCTTGGGGAAGAACCAGGGGATGAGATTGATGTCCCAAAGGATGAGCTTAGTGTAGAATTAGAAACTTTGTTCATTGAAGGAACTAATCCCCCTTAGGGTTACCCAGAGAACTGGTACAAATCCGATATTTTATAAGCTTTTATTGGTTGTATCTTTGTCATGCTAGTAAACTAGGGTTGCTGGGACTCACTGTTTTCCAAAGTCTTCAAACAATTTGAAGGCAGTAGGGAAAGAATTGTCTTCTACCTCTATCTCACATGTCTTTGTCATTTCTCCACAACCCCTTTCCCTGACCACACCCAAACCTGTATCCGTTTTGTGGCACTTAGCATGCATTCTATTTATATAAAATATGAAGAAATCTATTGTTTATGTTGTTTTTCAGCTAAAAGATTTTTGTAAATAAATAATTTTAGCCATTCTGAAAGCCCTGTCAGCTATACTTACCAACTTTTCACATTTGTTATTTAGAATGTCTATTTCTTCTATTAATATGGGCACTATGATCTTGGCCTGTATGAAGGCAAAGAAAAGTAATGATCAACTGCCAACATGGGCAGCAGCATGAACCCTCAACCAACAGAAGAAAAGAAATCACAAAGATTAGCGCAAAAATAAATGAATTGGAAAACAACATCGATGGACAAAAATCAGCAAGACAAAAAGTTGGTTCTTTGAAAGGATTGACAAAATTGACCAACCACTGGCAAATTTAGAAAAGGAAAAGAAAATATGCAAACATCTATAATTATATATAAAAAGGGCAACATCACAACAGATCCAAATGAAATAAAAAGAATAACACACTACTACAAAGCACTATAGCCCAATAAGTTTGACAACCTAAAATGAACTGTTTGGCCGGGTTGACTAGAGCAACATATCTAATGACCCTCATATATATGTGTAAGAGAGAGCTTTATATTAAGAAGTAATTATATATCAAGCAAACATCCCAGCCCAGTCCAGATTAAGTCCATAAGTCCCTCTTCAGACTCCCACACCCACATGCAATGATGTAAAATGCAGGAACACCGCAGTCGGTGGGTGAAAAGTCTTGTGGATCCAATGGTGGTGGAAGCATCACAGGGCTGCCACAGGTCTAATGTGACTCTCAACAGGAACGCCAAGGCAGATAGAGTGGACGAGGTTCCCAGGACTCTCCTTATGAGAAGGCCACACCCACAAGTAGGCATCATTATGCTGTGACCTGATTAAAAGGTGTAAGGTCCACCCCTTCATTCTTCAAGTTAACACCACATGATGGACAAATATCTAGATACACAACATTTATCTAAATTAACTCAGACCAATATAGAAAACCTCAACTGACCCACAACAAAATAAAAAATATAGAGATCGTCAAGAAACTTCCAAAACATGGAAAGGAACAGCAGACTCCCAAACTCATTCTGTGACGCTAACACACCGTAATACCAAAGCCAGGGAAATATCCACAAGAATAGAAAACTACAGACCAATATCCCTCATGAACATAGACATACAATTTTTCAACAAAATTCTGACTAATAGAATCCAACAATAGATAAAAAAGATTTAATAATATTTGAGAGATTCATACCATGTACACAAGGATAGGTCAACATTATGAAAACAATTGGTATAATCATAAAAACGGGACAAAGAAAAAGAACCACGTGATCCTATCAGAAAATGCAGTAAAAGCATATGACAATATCCAACACCCATTTTAAAAGTTATATTGTCATATAGGTCACCTATTGTACTACAATTCAGTCGTTCAATTATATTAAGTTGTACAGTCATCATCACAAGCACTTTTTTAATGTTTTATTTTTTGGTACTCATTACTAGCTGCTCATTCCCCCAACATTTCCTGCCATGCCCATAAGAAACCATTAGTCCAATTACTGTCTCTAGGTTTACATATCCTGGATTTCCTATACAGAAATAAAACAGATAAACATCTCAATAAAAACATAAAATATTAAAAACTAGAACAAATTTGAAATGGGTCAAAAGGGAGATCAAATGATCAGTTAAACTTTAACCTAATTGCATCCATAATATTCTACTTCCCAATGTACTCTGCATGATAGCAAAGCTATTCATATCCCTGGTCTATGGTCAGAGGGGACTCACCACAGGCTTAATCCACATGTATTTCCCTTTCACTTTTTTTAATCTGAAGCAACTTAAAAATGGGTCAACAAAAATCAAATCATAAGATAGTACATTTTAATTACATTTGCCATAATAACTTTACAATGCTCTCTGTCTAATAAGGCTGTTGGGGTGGGGGAAGAGGGCAGAGCTGATACCAACTGCTCAATAGAAAGTAAATGTCTAGAAAATAATGATAGCAACATGTGTACAAAAATGCTTGGTACAATTGATTGTTCTAAGAGCTGTAAGAGCCTCCAATAAAATGATCTTCTAATTTTAAAAAAAGGCCATTCACATCCCTTAACTATGATCCGAGGGGATTCACCAAGGCTTAATCCATGTCCAACACCCATTTCTGATTAAAACACTAAACAAAATAGAAATAGAGGGAGATTCCTTAACACAATAAAGACCATATACAAAAAACCCTAGGGTCATGGTCATTCTCAGGAAAAGCTGAAAGCATTTGCCCTGAAAACAGGAACCAGACAGAGATGCACTTATCATCACTCTTCTTCAACATCCTATTGGAAGTCTTAGCCACAACCATTAAACAACAAAAAGAAATCAAGAAAATAGTGAAATTCTTACTATTTGGAAATGATAGGATTTTATATAGAGAAAAACCAAAAGACTGCATAAAAATGTTTGAAGCACTTGAGAAATTCAGCAACATAGGATACAAGATTAGCAAGCAGAAATCAATTGAATTCCATATACCAGTGATAAGAACTCTGAAAATGAAAATAAATATATATATGCCATTTACAATAACCACACACATGATTAAATATTCAGCAATAAACCTAAGCAAAGAAATTAAAGACTACAAAGAGAATTACTCAATGGGATGTACACAAATGGAAGGATACCTCATGTTTGTGGATAGGAATACAATATGGTGAAAATGTCAATACTATCCAAAGCAACCTATAAACGTAATGCCATTCCAGTCCAAATCACAATTTTATTCTTGAAAGAAATGAAAAAACTAATTACTGACTTCATTTGGAGAGGAAAGAGACATAGAATAAACAAAGAGCTCTTCAAGAAGAGGAACAAAGTAGTAAGCCTTCACTGCCCAACCTCAACACCTGTTACATAGCCACAGCAGTCAAAACGTTTGGTTCTTGTACGTTTATAGATACTTAGCTAGATGAGGATTGAGAAGCTAATTTTTTTTAATTGAGCCAGTAGCAGGAAAAAAAAGGGGAGAGACAGATGAGACCAACTGACAAATATTTCATTGTTTTCTACAAAACTGGTTGAGCTACCAAAAAAAATTAATTCTAGAATTCGATGTAAACAAAGTTTCTTCAAATAATTTTTTTCATATGCTAGGAAATTATATTTTTCCCTCACTCCCCCTTTTTAAACTATTGTGAATTTGGTGAAGGTTTACAGAGTACACCATTAGTCTTAACACCAAACAACTCATACATTTGCTTCAACCCATCCATTGCAATCCCCTTAATGGTCTATCACCTATTCTGAGTTTTTATTGTTTTGTTTTTTGCCTTATCTCCCAGAAATCTCAAGCTATATGAAATGCTTAATTTCTGTTATGATGCTAGTAGCATATGATAATTTGGTTCCAGCCTCTACTCTTCATTCTATCTTTATTCTCTGTGTTTTAATACCAGAAACCACCTCAATTTGTGTTTGAAACACTATAAAATTTAAGTTAAAAATCAATTACCAAATGATAGACTCCCTATCATGAGACTCCTTGGAGAGTTTTCTTGTGTATAGTGAGTATAAATATACTAGTATTTTTGGATGAGAGGACCAAATAGTGTACTATTATATACTCTGTTTAAATGAATAGTAAAATTCTAGTCGGAATGATCATGTAATTTTCATTTAAATTATAAAAGGTGAAAAGCAGATAAGAATTCTGATTTTCCTTAGAATATAGAAAATAGACAAAAATGATCTGGACCGAGCAACAAACAATGCCAGAAACATTACAAAAAGTCTTTCTTGGACTCATCCAGTAGTTGAAGCCTCATGACAGCCAAATATAGTGAGGTGGGATCCATTTCTGTGAAACAAACTACAGTATTTCCTCTTTAATAGCATTCAAGAAAGGGACCTTGGGAGTGCAGTAGTTAAAGCACTTGGCTGTAACACAAAGGTCAGCAATTCAAACCCATCAGCCACTCCTCAGGACGCTGGGAAACTCCTAGATGCTGGGGAAGATTGATGACAAAGACCTTGCTCCAGAGCTAACAGAGAAAGTCTTCCCTGGAGCCAGCACATTGAATTTGGAGTTCTAGCCTCTTAAACTGTGAAAATAAATTTCTGTTTGTTAAAACCATCAGTGATATTTCTATTATAACAACACTAGAGGACTAAACAGGAGACAGGTGAGAATCCAGGAAGACCAAGTTCATTGAAAAAAGTATAATTGAAGAGCTGTAGAAAGAATCCCTGAGATCTATAAAAAGTCCCCTTAAATTTTCAGAAAGCTCATCTAAGTGAAGAAACTACTAAGAATAAGGAAAGAATGGTTAGAAAAGATTATAGAGGGTGGCCCCCTTTCCTGGTCCCACTACATGTCTCAACGTGTCTCTCCACACTTTCTGGAGATGGTCCATTTTTGTCTGAAAATCAAAAACTTTGACTCATAAAAGCTTTCCTCACTATCAAGAAATGATTGGGTTGAAATTGTGGTTTCTCAGAATGAAAAGAATTCTTAGCAAAGTGTTTCTCTTCTGAGATTTTTTTGTAACAACTATATGAAACTTGGTTTTATTTCTCTGAACTTGATCCATCCTATAAACCACGTATCTAGTTTCTTATTTTAAACATAGCACTTCCCCCAGTTGCAAAGTACCCTCAGTACACTAGGGTGACTCTTAAAAAGACAAATGGAATTGGAGCGGAGCTTTGACATTGTAGCTCCTTAATTTGTTTTGTTCGTTTGGATACAGGATATCATTCTGGTTTCTTGGTGTCCCTT